ATGCGCATATTCATAAAATTACGTCCGTACATGGCGTTATTCCGTATATTTTCCGTGAAACGTTACTACGGGGGCGTGGTTACGTGATTCCGTCCAGCTTCCGGTTTGCTGTTCGCGGACAGGCCTTAACGCACCAGAGTCGACTTCCAAACGGAAAGCCTCTGCCATTCGCTCCCTTGATCTGTCAGCGGCGACATAAGAACATTGATACCCAACCCTAACCACAGTGGATATTCACACCATTCCTTAGTTATTTACCCTAACCACAGTGGATATTTTCACCTTCTCACCCTCTTGGGTGGGTAGCTGATTTTATTGTGCTAAAATAAACATAGCAACGACCTAGCAACGGGTAATAAGTCAACTATACCCAGGACAGCTCTTTCTTTTCAAAGAAAAGGAGAAGAGTTGCCCTAGGTGGGATTCGAACCCACGACACTCTGCAGTCTAGGCGAGCGTTCTACAAACTGAGCTACATACCAGGGCAACTCAGCTGGTAGGGGTTCAAATCTACAACACAACACAACACAAAGGCACACCTCAAACCACTGTGCTATGGCACAGTACACTCTCACCCATGTGATTGACCTTGGAGCACTTAGAGCTTCTATCATTGTCTTGCTGTTGGTCATGGCAACAAGGGTTTTCGACTATGGGCTGGCCGAATAGGATGTCACAGTGGCACACACACAGAAGAACTGCGGACGTACACAGGCGAGGATTAAATGATAACACGTATTTAACTCATTCTACACTTTATTATCTGCTAATGGGCTTCCGGGTTACGAACAAATCGTACAGTTTACAAAGTACTGCACATCATCTAATACCCACAATTGATTAAATATGTGGTTAATGGTGGGAATCTAGTAGGTACGGGTTATGGTCAATGGCTCATGTCAATTGGTAGCTTAAGGCATAACTTCTATTTAGTTTTTTTTTAAATTATTTGTCTTATTACGTAAAACTGATTGGCAAGTGAATGAGGTGTTAAAAAGCCAAACCCTCAACAAATAAACTTAACTACCTTCAATAACTCAGGAGGCTCAAATACAAATGTTACAAGGTTAAAGCGTGAGTATTACTTCCCTCTACATACATTATTCTAAGATCTACCCATAACACAAGGAATGGTTCCATTAGCCACACATCAAATTAAAGTTGGGGGTTGCCATCATGGAATTTACATAAAATTTATCACATATCTATATATGTTCTTTGTGGGTTATAAAAAGTTTATCACATAATATGTTGTTTGTGGGGTATGCCTCTCATTCAGTGCCCTTCTCAAGAAGATCAATGATGAAATGAAAACACAGCGTGTTCATCCTCTCTTATCCGTTGTTCGTATACATGCTTCTTGATTTGCACTCTATGCTGGCTGCGTTGTCATCTAGCCTTCTCCCTTCTACACTCCTCCATCCAGGCCATCAGAGGTGCAAGATCATCGTGTGGACAGGCATCAAAATGCCCATGGTGGTTGACCTAATCAATTCCGAATCATATCTTGCATCACTCTAAACAGCACTTCCGTTTGGACATCCCTGCTTGTATACAAATAAGATATGTATTTTTCCTCTGTTACTGCATTGAATTGTATATCACTTAGTACAGTAGTACTTAAATATATGGGGGTGACACAGGTTGTCCTGCATTATGCACATACATTTGAGATTTAAACCAAGCTGCCTCTTGTATATAGTCTGGCGTAGCCTGCCTACACTAGGTCGGTATACCGCTTTTTTGCGGTCAGTGAGAGTTTTAGCTTTTATGAAGAGCTGCATAAGAAAGTTGATGCATACCAGGACTCGAAAATGCTCGAGGGTGCTAGTAAGCGGGTTTCAGAGCGGGTAGAAATAGCTATTCGGTACACCTTGCCTGCATGTTTTTGGTGGCAAGAAGTAGATAAAGGCAGAGGTTTGTATCTGTGTACAGGCGCTACACTCGTGGTTCAAGGTGCAGGTTGTAAATAGGCTAGGATGGCTCGTGCAGATACAGTCATTGTGTGTTCGCTCCCTCTCACCAAAAATGCCCTGCATTCTCGTGCGTATCTTCGCGGTAGACTACATGAGTAGGTCAGTCACGCGCAGTAAACGCGGCGTGTACGGGATTTCCGGACCAATATTAATAGCTCGCTACTTACTTGGGCTGTGAATTTGATCGCCAGTGCGCTTTTTGCTGTGAATTGCGTGGTATAAAATACTGAATTGCCTGGGGGAAATTCAGTGTTGCTTTGCGTGGCTGCTTCAATAATCGTAGGTTGGCGCCCATACCATTTCCTCACATATTGTCTTAGCCCACAGTCAACCATCATAAAACAGACGGTGACCATAAGGCGAGAGATGTCAAGCAAAGAGAGGTATGGGCGCTTAATGAGCTAATATCTGCGTCTTTTCTAACATGCTTGTCTCCATGTGCTCGTTTCTGTTTGTTTCCCGTTGTATTGGTTGTATGGCCCTGTTCTTGAAATAATGTTCACCCACTACTCTCAAAAATAGTATAGCTAGGCCTCGAAAAAGAATATTCACTGATGAGATCACGTAGCTACTTTTTTCGGACTTAATACCACCGTCGTCGATTGGCTTGGATTGGATTGCATTTGCCTATATAGCTACTTCGAGAAACTCAGTAGCTATACGTTATCATACGTACTTGCTTTGTTTAGCAGAAAGTCCCTCGATGGTTTTGTAGCACGGTTTTTCCGCCGTTTATGACGCCAGGATCATGCATAGCTAGCTACTCTGCAAAGTGAGAAAGCAATAGAGATGACGAACACCAGGCAGCCGAAGATCGACGATTCATATATACATAGCCGTTTAGAGGCGAATCATCACTAGCACATTGTAAGGAAAGTACCAAGATCTGTCGTCTGAGACAAGTTCTTGACGCCTATACACAGCACGGAGATTTCACAGATTCCATAATGACGTATATATGCTCAGAGGGTTCGCCCGAGATACCGTATTGCGGGATATTTCGCACGGTGCAAAATTTCGCCTTTATCGCCCGTCAAACAAAACTGTTTGTGCGTACTACAAATGTGCATGCACACAGGCAGGGGGTTGATCTATCGAAATCGCGCGCGAACTGGGAAAATGGCAGCCAGCAGCAGACTCCCTTACAGACAACAGAGGATCGCTATCAAACCCTCCTTCACTATAGTAGAAGCCAACTGGGCCGTCAGCAGCGTCGTAACGAAGCGAAGAGGGGAGCCTACGCAAAGTTTACGTAGCGCAGTACGCATCGATGCACGGAATCAGGAATCACTGCTGCAAAACGTCGTTTCTCGAAGGGGACTTGGAGGAGAGCACCTAGAAGACTTGGCGGAAAAAGTATACGCGCACTCAGCTAGCAGCGATAAATGGGCGCGGTTCGTAAACGCGAAAATAAAAACCTTGAAAATTCTTCTAGAGGCACCAGCGAAAATATCCCGCTTCACGTTAACGCAATGCTAGAAAGATAAAAGCAGGGTCTAAAATAATAGCCTAGGAAACGCCGTCCTGGACCAGTGCCTTACACACAACACCAGGCACTCGCGAGAAGACTTAAGAACGTTTATTAATTGTGTCTGTAAGAGCCCCGGCAATTTGGCACCTCTTCACCAGTTTCTCCTGTACCCAACACAATGCCACTATAGCGCACAGATCAGAACACCTGTACATAGCATGTTCACAACAATATTATCTGCTTTATGCATTGCCTAAAGACACCTGTGCATTTATCATAGAACTGCCAAGTTCAGGGCTAGGGCCTGCCAGTTAGCTATATAGCAGCTACATTGTTCACACAGCAATTCACTTTTTAGAGGAGTCATTGGTGGTTACTACTCCCTTCACTAGCAATGATAATGTGCCAATACGCTGACATGTAACATAACTTGCATATTCAATTTCACCAACACTGATACCGATCGGATTTTGCCACCCCGGCTGGGTATAATAAACACTCTGCATAGCAACCTTTTGTGCGAGGTCATAGCCAATCAGTAGCACTCTCCCCACCTTGAATGTAGCAATACAAATATAGTGGACTAAGAACAGTGTGCGAGCATTGTAGTCACACTATGACACTTGCAGGCAAATGCACAGCGCATTTACCAACTGAAGCGGTCCACCACTTCCTGTACAAGTGTACGACATCTTTATTAATTCGTAATATGGAGAAGATGTGGATTTTCCAGAGAGATTACACGGAGATAATATATTGGAGATTTTTTTATTCCTAAACATATCTGTATGTAACGTAAGATTTCCCTTGGATTTCGTGGCAATTTTAGGATTTCGAAAGTGATTTTGTTTTAGGCTTAGACTACTGTACTGAATTCATGCAGGAAAAGCATCAGTAGCTACACTTTCTGTGCCTTCGTATTGAGTATGTTTCTCTGAGGCAGGACCAGCATTGTTTCCATGTATGGACTATAGCTATAGACACTGAAGTGTACAGTATGCTTCAAGAAAGTGAATGGAAATTGAAATCATGGATTAGAAGTTTCCATTGTATAATGGAAATTGCTGCAATTACAAAGAATCCCCTTCTGTAAACTAGCTCTACATGCGTACAATAGTAGGACCACAACATCTACATAAATTTGCAGTGGGAAGGACCTGATATGATAGGGTTGTATGTCAACCTCAATCTACCAGCCCATTCTCTCCCAGTTCCTCAGAGAGTAGCAGAAGCAGCAGCAGAAACAGCAACAATGATGAAGGCAGTGTTCATGGAGGTGGCAGTGATAATGGCGATGAAGGCAGTGTTCATGGAGGTGGCAGTGATAATGGTGATGAATGCAATGTTGAAGGAGGTGGCATTAACAATGGCGATGAAGAAGGGGGGGCTGTTGCTGGTAAAAAGTAAGTTCATTTTCATTATGTATCTAATTAGCCCCTTACCCATACCACAGTGGACTCACTGGACCAAGTGGACCATGTAGACCCTGTGGACCCAGCGGACCCAGTGGACCCAGCGGACCCAGCGGACCCGGCGGACCCGGCGGACCCGGCGGACCCAGATGTGACGTCACTATAAAGGAAAAGGAAGAGATTCAAGACCTGAATAATGAGCTGGAGACATTTATGGCAGAGGTGAAAACATGTTTTATACTCTTGTTTATCGAACTAGCTATCTTGTTAATGAATGAAGGTGAAACAAAGATTCCGTTCACACAAAGAGGATTTGAAGGTACTGACTGAGGAGAAGAAGGACTACTATGAGAAATGGCAGTGTGTGGAGAAGGAGTTCATCAGCCTCAAGGAGAGATCCGAGAGGAGTGAGTTGGAGTATGAGAGGGAGATACAGAGGGTGACTCAGATCAGGAACGAGTTTGAGGCCAAGTGGGAGAGTGCAAAGAAAACTATAAAGGAAAAGGAACTTGAAATTCAAAAGGTAGGTAACACACCTGTGCCCCTTTTTTATGCTGAACTGTGCTAGTGTTTCATATGGTATATCTATAGAGTGCAGAGTGTTGTAGTTTAAAATCCCACCCTGGGCAGTTCCTTATTGCTTCTGGGTGTTGCCTGAGACCACATTGTTGATGCATGTTACAAAAGGTTGTCAATGTGTAATTAATGCTGTAGAGAATGAGAGAGAGAATGGACATCATTGAGAGCGAGAGGAAACAGTGGGGAGACAAGATTCAAAAACTCAATAAAAGATAAGCATCAAGCTGTAATAAAGAAGTTGGAAGAGGTAGCTATTATTATTCAAATAAAACTCTCTTAAGGTGTTGTTTGCTTGTTTAGGTTGAAGTAAAAGAAGTACACGAGTTGACTGCTACTGAGGAAGAAGAAAAATGCCATGCCTGTTCACAATGTAAAATTTTCCAGCAGGAGCGTGATAAAAAAATAGAGGAATGTGATAAATCAAGGATTGAGTACGAGAAACTTAGACAAAAGGTATGCCAGAATGGTGTATATATATAATTATATAATACTATAATACTAAACAATATCACGTTTAAATTTTTAGTTCATACATACTGAGAAACGCCACGAGGAAGTGAAGAAGAAACTACATGTTCGGGTTAGTAAGAATTTATGAAAAATCTTTGATGTTTATTATAATTATTTTTTAACATAGGTGACTGAAATTGAGGAATCTTATATTCGTTCAACAGTCAGTTGTGACCCAGTTGTTTTCTCTGGAATCAACCTGAGGGCTGACATTCAGAAGTATCGTAAACTGATTGACGAGTGAGTCCATTCATACTGACTCTGTAGGAGCTATTGACTGATGATAATTCTTTTACAGAACTAAAAGTTATGCTGAGTGAAGAAAGTTCTTATGTAATCGACATTATTAATCAGAAAAACAATTTTTGTTAGAGGTGTTCGTTTGCTGCTCATCACCTATTCTGTTTTGTGAAATGACTTGGTAAAGAAGCAATGTAGCTACCTTAAATGCATACCTGCACTGAAAATCCATAAAACGATCGTTGATTATGACCTTGCTCGCAAGAGCAGTTTCCATACGTCACCCCACTGAGTAAGCTATCATATGCTTCTTTGAGACAATAGGGCACGACTTTTGCAACTTTTGCTCTTCTGTTCAGAGCTTGCTTTAGCGCCGTAAATGAATATAATTATTTATTCATAATGCCTCATTAGGAATGTAGCTTAACTCATCAGGGAGGAGGTGAACTAGTTAAGACGGCTGTGAGAAAAGCTAATCTCATGCAGGTAACCTCTGAAACCACCATTTTTACCTCTACAAGGATCATTAATGTGCAATAATTGTGACAAAGTGTTGAGCTCCTGTAGTCAAGCTATGTCGGTCACATGACAGTCACATTACTCTTTCACACATCGATATAATGATAGCTTTTCCTCCAGTATAGTTGTCATAATATTATTATTTTTATTATTATTTCAGCTTTACAACACAGGTAGGAGGTGATGCCATAAAGAAGTGTGACAGATAACATGGGAGGTGGTGACAACTGTGTTGAAGGACTGAAGGCATCAAGCCAGCAGCCATAAAAATAAAAATAAAATTACACAGAATAGGACATAACATGGACAACATTTAGATAAAACTAGTGAAATGCATTGAGATGGGAAGCTTTGAGCATTTTTAGCATGGACAGACATAGTGATAGGAGCATACATTATCAGAATCAAAGTGTGAGATGAAATGAATCCAAAAGAAGTTTCGCAGTCTAGACTTGACGGTAGCAATAGGGAGATTAATGTCAAATGATGGTAGAGAATTCCAAAGGTGGGGAATACGATTGAAGTAAAAATTTCTCTCAGACTGCTTTTTACAAAAGGAGTGCCTTAGCTTGAAATGAGAGGATGAGCGTGTAGGGTTGTCACAAAATTTGACATAATTGAGTATATTGAAGTGTTCGGAGGGGAATTTTAGGGACTTGATGAGAAAGATAATATCAGCAATTTCTAACTCCATCATTAGCGGTAAGAGATGTAAATACATCAGACGATTTTTATAATCCATTGCAATACCCTTCATGACAAATTTTGTTGCTCTTCTTTGAACGAGTTCCAGACACTTTATATCCATCAACAAGTGTGGATGCCAAATGACCGAACAATAGAGCAACTGAGAGCGTACAAGGGATGTATACAGGTAGCGTTTAGCGATACAGACATGGAGTTTGAAAAGTGTGGAGAAGGCGGGTCTCGTTCAGCGCGGTTTATGCGGCGCATCTAATAAGAGACACATGGCTGGACACGTGTGAGAGCCACCGACCGATGTCAGACCTAGAGCAGCTTGTGAGTGCGACTCTCAGCTGCAGCAGCAGCTTGAGGAGCGCGGTGCGCTGTCTGAAGGTCCGCCATATCTAGCCGACGCGAATCTGCCATCCTGAGGGAGTTATTCCTTATTAACGCCGTCCTTGCCCTTGACGGAGTGGATCTGGGAACCCGACGGTGGAGATACGCCTCTCTCCACACGAAGAAACCTTGCTCTTCCTCCTCTCGACTTGACACGCCTCTCCACTTGAAAAAAAACTGCCTCCTCTCGACGAGACACGCCACTCCACTCATAAAAACGCGCCTCCGTCGACGAGACACGCCTCTCCACTCGTAAAAACGCGCCTCGCTCGACGAATCATCACGCCTCCTCCAGACGACACAAAACGGGTTCGTCACACCTCGTCCCGTGAATCTTTGGCTGTATACAGGTAGCGTTTAGCCAATACGGACATGGAGTTTGAAAAAACTCTGCGAAGCAGACCTAGCATTTTGTAAGCTTTGGATGTGATCAGCTGATAATGCGGTCGCCACCGTAAGTTGGTTGATACAATCAATCCAAGATCCTTTCCTGTGGATTTATTAGAAATTTCTTTGCTATTCATAATGTAGTTGCACATTACAGCGGAGTGGCCAGTAGTGAAGTGTAAAACAGAGCATTTCTCTTCATTAACAGACAGATTCCAAGTGTGGCACCACTTAGAGAGACTTGTAAGGTCATTCTGGAGAAGTATGCAGTCTTGCAGAGAAGAAATTGGCATAAAACACTTGGCATCGTCAGCAAAAAGCAGGATTTTACAAAATGAAAATGTAGAAGGAAGATCATTTACAAAAACAAGAAATAAAAGAGGACCAAGAATGCTTCCCTGAGGTACACCAGAGATAACGGGCAAAGTGTCTGACGCAGATTGCCCAACAGATACATACTGAACCCTATTGGTCAGATATGCCCTCATCCAGGACCAGAGTTTGCCAGTAATACCGAATTTCCATAGCTTGTAGAGTAGCTCACTGTGAGCTACAGAGTCGAAAGCTTTCCTAAAGTCTAGATACACCACATCTGTTTGAGGTACAGAGGAGTTGAAAATAAAATGAAAAAATATAAGCAGCTGTTGTAGAGTAGAGCGACCACGTAAAAAACCGAATTGGTGAACTGTAATGGAGGATGTAACGAAGTCCACAATACCATTGTATATTAGTTTTTCTAGAACCTTAGAGACAACCGGTAACAGAGAAATTGGTCTGTAATTCCTGACTGAGGTTTTATCACCAGATTTAAAAATTGGTCTTATTAAGTGAGTACCCCATTCTATTGGAAGATAACACTGGGATAGAGTCAAAGAGAATAGATAATGAAGTGGTTGGTAGAGAGCCAGAGCACAAGTTTTAAGTAGCTTAGGACTAATTCCATCACATCCCATAGCTTTGGACGGGTCAAGGGATCGGAGAGCACGGAAAACATCTAGTTCGCTAAAGGTAATTTCGCCGAGGAGAGATGGAGGCTGAGACAATTCAGTGAGAGGTGGTAACTGAAACGAACTTTTTGTAAAAATTGAGTAAAAGAACTCATTAAATAATGCAGCTTTCTCACAATCAGAGGCAGCAGTAATGTCGTCAAGATGTAAAGATGAAGGCAGTAAGTTATGATTGGATACTGAGCGAATATAAGAGAAGACCAGAGAAGACTGGTGAGAATCAATAAGATTTGTTTCAAAATCAGTTTTGGCTTGTGCTAGCTTGCATTGGAGAAGACGTTCCAGATTCATAATTTTAGTGCATCTTTGTGAAGTAGGATGAGATTTAAATTTTCTTCTCAGTGAACGCAGGCACTTGAGATGATGACGGATATCGGAATTGAGCCACTTTGGACCTTGACGACGTTTAACCAGTATCTTTGGAATAAAAAGTGACATAGCTTCATATATTATTGACGTTATAATGAACCAGATGAACTCAATGTCTGAGCTGTCAAATATAGCACTATAATCTGAGTCTAACAAGAAAGAGCAGAGACCGTCAAAATCTGCTTTACAATAATCAAATACATAACCAGGTTTTGATACACTGACAGTAGGAACACTACAAGGTAAATCAAAACTTATTGCAAGGTGATCTGAAAAATTTACAACTGAGAGGGGATGAATAGTTAAAATATCAATGACAACACTCGCAGAGGTAAGAACCAGGTCAAGTACATTTCCTTTGACATGAGTAGGCTCTAATACATGTTGAGTTAAATTACAATCAAAAACAAAATTACAAAAACAAACAGATGAAGATGAAGTACCCATTAATGCTAACCAGTCGATATCAGGGAAATTAAAATCACCTACAAAAATACATTTACTGAAAGATGAGGTAAGATGAGTAAGAAAATGAACTAAAGAAGAGACATGGGAAAGAGACGACTCAGGAGGTACATAAACACAGCAGATAACAAGCTCAGTACCTATTCTAATACATACAATTTCAAGATCAGGTGGAGAGGGAATTAGAGAACTTAAAAGTGAATCCCTGACAGCTATTAACACACCTCCACCACGTGAAGGCCTGTCTTTACGATACAGACTATAATCGGCAGGAAGGATTTCATTGTCAGAGACATACTCAGATAGCCAAGTTTCTGTAATACAAATGATACAAAAATTTGATGTGTACACAAAGGATTGAAATTTTGACAACTTGTTCACTAAGCTACGAACATTAAGTAAAAGTAAACATAAATTAGAATTATTAGGTAGTCACGATTGAGGGGGATTTATATCAGGTTGAGCAGAGGCACTACTAGCAGATGGTGGGGTAGCAGCTAAGGTGTCATTGTTGTTCCCT